TCCTACATATAAATAATTTTAATATAAAGTTTCTTATTTATATAAATAATTTATAACGTATTAATCTTATTTTTGATCAGAATAAAAATATTTTTATTTAATATTGGATACTATTTATTTTAAATAATTTTTTTAATCTTAAAATATGTCAAAAAATAAAAAATAATATATAATAATAATAACAATTTTAAATAGAATCATTTATATTAATTAGTTTATCACTTTAATTAAGCATATTTTTCAAAAGAAATATAAATATTATTTTATTTAATATATTCTTAATATCGTTAATTTTTTTTTTATTTAAATATTAATTATGATTTAATTAAATTTATTTTAAATAAAATATCTTTATTTTATATTTAATAATTTTAATAAATTTGAATTGATTTCAACAAAAAAATTATTAGAGATAATAATATGAGAAAAAAAAAAAAGATTATTAAAAGTATAAATTTATAAATCTGATAAATACATATCAGTTTAAATACTTGGCAATAATTAAATTAGAAATTAAATATAAAAAAAATCATATTTAATGTTATAAATTGACATTATTTTTTACTTTTAATTTAATTAGAATAATTTATAGTATATTTCTCCATAATTTTGTATTTTTAATTTCTTTTATAAAAATAATATATATAATAATAGTAGTAATGGGTAATTTAGTTTGTTTAAAAGAAGAAAGTACACAAATAAGTAGAAATACATCAAACAACAAATTAAATATGTCTAATATATCTAAATATTAAAACCAATGCGAGTAAATACAATTTTAACAAAATGAAGCAATATGTATAGCACAAAGATAATAGGATTAAAAGAAAATTTCAATAAATGATTTTTAAATACTTTAAGTATAAAAACTAAATAAAAATAAATATAACAAAAAAAAATGATAGTTATTAGGTGAAGGATCGTTTGGGAAAGTATTATTAGTTGAAAAAACTGATAAAAGTATAAACAAAAAAATATATAAAAATTAAGAAAAAAAAAAAATAGAAAAATTATTTGCAATGAAAGTATTAAGAAAGTAAGAAATTTAAAAAACTAACTCATAATTTAGCACATAACAAGAAAGGGATATATTAGTGAAAATGAAATGTCCATTTATAGTAAAAATACATTACGCATTTTAGACACCATAGAAATTATATATAGTAATGGATTTTATGATAGGAGGAGAATTTTATTATTTATTAAAAAAATCTCCTTTATTTAATGAAGAACATACAGTTTTTTATTCGGCGCAAATTTTGTTAGGAATAGAAGCATTACATTAAAATCTTATTATACATAGAGATTTAAAACCATCAAATATATTAATTGATTAATATGGTAATATAAAATTGGCAGATTTTGGACTATCTAAATTAGGGATAAAAAGTAAATTATTTTATACTTTTTTTTAATTTATTTTATAATTAAATAATTTTAGATAATTAAAAAACACATAGCTTATGTGGTACTCCCGAATATATAGCGCCGGAAGTATTATTAGGTTTATCTAAAATATATAAATATAAAATATATAATATATATATATATATATATATATATATATATATATATATATATATATAAATATTTATATTTATTATAAAAAGATGATGGACATGATTAAATGGTTGATTATTGGAGTTTAGGTGCTATTATATATGAAGCGTTAATAGGAAAGTAACCTTTTTACAATAAAGATAAAATTAAAATGCTTAAAGATAGGATTTTAAAAAAAGTAGAAATAGAAAAACCTTTAAGTGAATAGGCAATAGATATAATCTAAGGTTTATTAAATACTAATGTAATATAATTTTATATAAAATAAATGAAATGAGTTTAAATTTATTTAATATTAAATAAAAGCCAAATGAAAGATTAGGTAAAAATGGAATTTAGGAAATAAAATAGCATCCTTTTTATGCAAATATTGAATGGGATAAATTAAATAATAGGGAAATTTAGCCACCTTTCAAGCCCATTATTTAAAGCAAATATGATTTAAAATATTTTTCTAAAGTTATATATTATATTTTTATTTAAATATTATTACTTTTTATAATAAGTAATTCACGGGATAAAAAATTAAGGAAACTCCTATAGATTATAAAGCAAATAAAGATTTAGGGCATTTTCCTTTATTTGATTATTATAAGTATTTTTATTTTTTTTAATATTAATATAATAATTTATATTTCGTTTTTTATTAGTTCAGATAATTAATAGTCAATTAAAATTTGAATAAAAAAAACTATTTAATTTCAAAATTTAATAATAATTTAAGTTATGTTTTATAAATATTTTATTTTTTATTTAGTTATAAATATTAATTTTTAACATTTTATATTAGATGAAAACTTTTTTTTTTAATAATTAAGTAAATTAAATGAATTTTTATTATTTATAAATAAAATATTTTAAAAATACTATTAATATACAAGGAAAATAGGCCATAAAGTGCTAAAATATTTTATTAAAACAGTCAAATTTTAAAAAAATAATAGAATTTTAGTCCTAAAAAGCAAATATAAGTTAAAAACATTAGATTTTTAATGAATAATAGAAGTTTTCCAAAAAGAATAAATGCAGAAAAGTATATAAAAATGCATTATTAAATAAATGCTAATTATCTGAATATTTTTTGATTAAATGCATATTTAATTTATATTATTTTATTATATTTTAGTAATTATTTTAACAACACTTTTGAATATGAAAAAATAATACCGAAGAAAATACAAGACGATAAAGAAAAACTATATTAAGAAAGTCTATATTTAAAAAATTAAAATAATTAATTAAATTAAGAGAATATTTAATTAAAAACAAGAATACTCGCATTAGAAGTATTTTTATATTAATAAAAAAAAAATTATAATAAAGAATAACATAATAAAAAAAACATTAAATAAATATATATATATATATATATATATATATATATATATATTTATATATTATATGTAATTATATATATATTTATTTTTGTAATATTTATTATAAAAATATATACAAAATTTTATTTATTAAAAAGAAAAATATGAAAATTTATTTATCTATCAAAATAAATATTAAATTATAATATAGAGTCAAATTTAAAGAACAACGTAGGATATATAATAAAAAAAATAGAAAATAGTAAAAATTATTATATATATATATAATAAGCAAATTTTTAAATAAAGTAAAGTACATTGATTTTGAATTTAAAAAAAGAGTTAAAAGAAACTTAATATTAATTGAGAGAAAAAACAGAATAAACAGAATAATTAAAAAAGTCAATTAAATAAACTAAAATTAATGAATTAGAAATTGAAAATAAATTATTTTTTGATGAAAATATAAGACTTAAAAGTATTTTGGATGAAAAGATTTTAGAAATGTAATTTAATTATAATTATATCTTAATACATATATATATATATAATGAAGTGAATAATTCTAAAATAAAGATACTATTGTATAATAATTATTAGCTAAAAATAAATAATAATAAGAAGAAAATAATAATTTAGAAAATCAATATTATACATTATAAGTAAATTAAAAAATTTAAAACAAATAAATAATAATTTTATTTAAATATTATATTTATATAAGAAAGTTTATTTTGAATAAAATGAAAATAATCAAAAAAAAATAAAAGAAATAAAAAAAAGATATATAATAGAAGAAAAAAATTAAATAAAATAAAAAGATGAAGAAAAATTTAATAAATAAGTAGAAGATTATAGGTAAAAAATAAAAATATAAATTTTTAAAAAAATAAAAAAGTAAATATGGACACGATAATAAATTTTTAAAAGAATAAATATTAAAAAAAAACAAAATAATATATGAATTAGAAGCATAAATATAACAAAATATAGACTAATTTAATTACAATTTAAATATATAAAAAGAATAAAACCAATTATTATAATAAGAATTATAAAAAGAAATAAAAAATAATAAAATATTAAAAAAATAAACTAATTAAAGCAAATAATAAATAACACAAATATAAAATAATAAACAAAAAAAAAGTAGTGGCTTTAAAAAGGAAGAAAAACAATAAAATTCATAAAATTCTTCATATACAAAATATTAAAATAAATCATAATCTTCTTTAAAAAGATAAAGAGTTGAAGTTGTAAATTTAGATTAAATAAAAATATTCGGAGACTAAATAAATTATACTTTTCGGTAAAAAGGCTATGATTGGAATGATATAGTTGATTTAACGTTTAAAGATATAAATGATTTTACTGATTTAAAGACATTAAAAAATAAACTAATGAAGTAAAAAATATATATAGATATATATATTTAATAAAAAGAAATATATATATAATATATATATATATATATTTATATATTTATATATTTATATATTTATATATTACTTTTTTACATATTTTTTTTTTATTATTATTAGATAACCTTTTTGTATAGAAGATGAGTAAATAGCTCTTTTTATGGCTAGATATTGTATTGAAAATGATACATATGGAAATTGGACTTTTCTTGATTTCAATAAAAAGAGCAATAATAATATTATAAAAAGTATTTTAAGGTAAATTATTGGACCTTATACTTTGCTTAGTTAAGAATAGGCTTTATAAATTTTTTAATCAATATAATTTGTACTATATCATTATTTTCTTATATAATAAATTTTAATTATTTTATATTAAAAATTAATTTATTTTATTTTATAGATTGTTTAGAGTAAAAATAACATTTTAAAGGGTTTCTTATAGGATTTTGCTAATAGCAAATAATATATAAGCAGATTATAATTATAAAATCTTATCAATTTTTGCGAAATCGAAATGAATAAATAACAATATGACTATATTTTTACTTGTCTTGTTTAATATTCTCCATAAATAGATTAGCTTGATTTTATGAAGATTTTTGAAATTTTCGATTATAATAGTACCTTACCTATTTGTTATTATTATAATGAAGAAAATTATAAAAATTTGTTGTTAATTGGAAATTAAAATAATTTACTTTCTTTAGATAATATACATAATACTTAAATTGAATCAGTATTATTATTTTTTTAAATATTATTTTATATAATTTATTTTATAGCAATTATCCTTAATTTCTAATAGAAATACTGATTCTTGAAATGATTTATTATTTATTTTTTTTAATTAATTTTAATATGAAATATAATAATTATTTATTATTAATAATAAAAATTAAAAATTTATAGATAATTTTTTTATTATTTATTTCTAATTTCAAAAAAAAAAAAAAAAAAAAAAAATTAATTTTAAAATATTATAAATATTTATTTAAAAATATTTAAATTTGTATTTTAATAAAGTTATAAAAAAACAAATTTAAATATAAATTTAAAAATAATTCAATTAAAATATAAAAAAAATAATAATAATTTTTTTTTTTTTATAAATAGGATTTCATATTCGTATAAATATAACTAAAAGGAAAAAATTCTAAGAAAAATAAAAATAAAAATAAAAATAAAAATAAAAATTAATAACACAAAAAATAAAAATCAAATAAGTTAAATATTATTATAAAGTATTATTTTTTATTTAAATTTTAAAAAGTTAAAATAATATAAACAAAAAACATGGGTACTTGCTGTTCTTAAGAATATAAAATAAATGAAAAAAACATAAACTTTGAAATAATAAACACAAAAGAATTTCAATAAAATGATGAATAGCATTCGATTTTATTATAAAGTAGTTAAACGGGGAACCATTCTTAAATATAAATTCAATTATCATATGACTTTGATGACTTTAAAAAGGAGAGTTTTTACGGAGAAAATGCGGTAAAAAAATAAAGGTAAAAACAAAATAATATTTTAAAATTAAAAAATAAAATTTAATTCAACCATAATTAAAATTATAGCTTCTAAATTATAGATAAGATTCATAATAGATAGATACTTAATAAAAGTAATAATAAATATTTAAAAATAAACAAAAATATATAAAATTAGATAAGAGAGTAAAAGAATCTTAGAAAATATAGAAAACTAATAACCAATTATAACGATTAAAAGTGATTAGGAAGTTGAAAAAGAACTAGAAGAAAATAAAAAATAATAATAAGAAGAAATCTTGAAATAATAATAAATATAATAAGAATTAGAAAAATAAAAATAAATCGATCTTTAGAAAAAATTAGAAGACGAATAATAATAAATCAAAGAAAATTTATTGTAATTATAAAAAGAGCAAGAATTAAAATAAAAATAATAGTAATTTTTTTAAGCAAATTCACAATAATAATAATATGATTAAGATGCTCTATAATAATAATAAATTGACAAATTTAAACCTAATGAAATATATATAAAAAAAAAAATACCTGAATATATGTAAAGTATAAATAGAGATAGCAATAATGAAATATCAGATATTTTATCTAATTATAGTATAGATAGCCCTAAATCTATAATAAAAAGACGCGATTTTAACAGTTAATAATCTGATAATGATACATAATAAAGCAAATGCATAAAAAAAGTCAGATTTAAAGAAAGTAACTTTAAAAAATAATCTAAAAAAGCAAAATGGGTATAAAAAAATATATATTTCATATATCTTTTATTTATTTTTTTAATTAAAAATATAGTGAGAATTATAAAAAAGAATAAAATAAAAAGTAAAGAAAAAAAAAAAAAAAATATTAATATTTTATTTTGTATTTTATTTTTATAATATGTATTTTTATTTATTTTATAAAATCATTAATTTTCTTTTTCAATTAATATTTATATTAATAAAAATTACCACATTAAAAATATTTATTAAGTAGTTTTTTAAATATGAAAAATTTATTTTATTTAATAATGTATTTTTTTTTATTTTTTGCAAAAAACTTAAAATAGATTTATTTAATTTTAATATTTTTAAAAAATAAACAAGTTAAAGTAAAATTCAAATACTAATTAAATATTAAAAGAATTCAAACGCTTTTTTAATTTTATTAATTAGAAATTTAGCATTATACTTAATCTTCATTTAATTCATATGATTCTTCATTAATTATTATTTAACTTGTAATAATTTTACATTTTTTAGCCTTTATTAATGTATTAATATTTTTAATTCATTTATAAAATATTTTTATTTACATATGCTAATAAATACTAAACAATAATTAAAAAAATTAATATCGAAAATACTGCTAAAAAAGTCATAGTAATAAATTTAACATAATGTGGATTAAATTATTCTATAATTATTTATAATATTAAATTTTAT